TAATAACTTATGATGATGAAAATCTGAAAGTAAGAATTTCTTAATTTGGTTTCACAGTTGTGAAACCTCTACACATGTAGGACCTTAAACTGGAGTTGAATTTCAAGTTGCTAAGAACTGAAATACTTACATATAAATCATAATGATGCACCTAGAATGACTCAGTTTGATCAAAATATGAGTACTTTGACCTTTTTGAACATCTTTTATAATGTTTTTCTTGTACTGGGACCAAGCATTCAACGTGTACTGACTCTTGATAATATAATGCTTAGTGCAGTTTATCGCCATCATATTTCCCAGGCTTGTTACTTCTAGCTTACTAATGTGTGTGATGATACTACTCTTGTTACATAGCTAGTATATTTCTCCAGATCAAACTGATCCTCATCATAATGGTGAAGAAACAGCTGTTAATGGTGACATTGATGGTGTTGACCCGGATGAAAAACCCAGAAAATCTGACATCATTTATATAACTGGAAAGCAGGAAAATTGTTTGGCAGCCAAAGAAGCTTTGTTGGTAAAATTTGAAACCAACTTTTTTTTTATATACTAGGCAATTTTAAATTTACCTTTAAGCTTCCTTATGGAATGATAAACAGTATTAGATTTGTAAGGTTATCAGTTATGCTAGTAATAAGCAGTTGCTTACATGTTACATTAAATATTTTGTGTATGCATAATAGCCATTATGCAATTTTAATGCATAAAGGAAAATTATGGGTTTTCGTGGTGTTGTTTAAAATTGTTGTATCGTTTCAGGCTCTTGTGCCAGTTACCATAGAGCTGAGCATCCCCTACGACTTTCATCGGTACATCATTGGTCAGAAAGGAAAAGATGTTCGCGACATGATGGACAGGTATGATGTGAGCATTAAAGTGCCTGCTGCCAACTCGGAAAGTGAGATCATTGAAGTAAGTGGGCCACCGGCAAATGTGGAGCAAGCCAGAGAAGCCCTCATGAAGAGAGTGCAAGAGCTGGAAGAAGAGAAACAGGACAGGGTAAATACAATTGCTCGAGACTTGCTACCTGCATTGTTTGTGTGTGCACTTATTAAAAGTTTGGGTCTAGTTTCTTTCTTAAAATTAACGATCATCAAAGGTCAAATGTTGCTGTTGCATTATGGTCTATTTCCATAAATATTAATATTATTTTTGTAGTCTTTCGGTTTGGAGGTTTACCAAACTGCTTTCTTGAGTTAGACCAACGATTTTATTTACATTAAAAAATAATTGATTTCCTCACACACGGTATCCTCGTTTTCAGCTGGAATTTTTGTTTTGTATTATATTGCCACACAGAAGGCTGTATCACGACATATTACAGGCAAGAATCTTGGCTAATCTCTCCAGCCTCTTATTAAAGTTTATACTTCTCAAAACAAAATGTTACTACAATCCAACTTTCCATTTGTATTTTTCACAATTTCCCAGTATGCATTCACAATGTTGTTACCTGCAAAGAGCTTTTAGTAGCATAATTTGTAAGAAACTTGTTGACTGGCATAATTCATCCTTTATCAATTGAACAAAGCAAGTAAGGTGTGTCCGAGAATAGTACTGCGATACGCATTGCTTCAAAACAACTTCAGGATATATCAGTAATAATGTTACCATATCACTGCAAGAATACTAAGTGGCTTGCAGACTTGATATCACTATACTTTACAGACTTTAATATTAACCATTTTGGAAAGTTTTTTTTTTTTTTCATAGTCCAATAAAACATTTGAAATGACATGGTCAGAGGTGCATAGATGACTTCTGTGGTTGGAGTTAAATATGTTAAAGCAAGAGTACTTTAAGTGGGTGGTATTACTCACATAGATTATTTGAGTTTCTAAGGACTTTTAGAGCAATTGTTAGAAACATTGTAAAGAGAACTTGTTGCTGTTTATAGTATTTTGAGAGTAATAAATGTGATAACATATTACGATTGCAGTATCTTTTAGACCATACCTATTTAACTAAAACCTTCTGGCCAAGTATTATTGTAATTCTAATAATACTCTTCCAACTGAACCATTTAGAGAAGTTGTAAAAACGCACGTTGTCGTACTTCGGTATTATACCACATTAACCTCACTAGAAGAAGTTTTGACATTGTACCTTGTCTAATACTTTTGTAGTCCAAAATATGGTCTGTGGTTTCCCTCAAATAATTTTATTACATTAATGGTTAACCTTGTTTGGACTGCGGAGCACCTTTTAGGTGTGAAAATGCACACCTATTGTAATTATTTTTCAACAACTTTTAAATATTTTAGAATTAATATTTTGTAACATTTGTTTAGTGTCATATATTTGCTAAGAAACTATCATCCCTTCACAATAAAATTAACTATAATTTGTCAGTATTCTTTTCTTTGGTTTTATTAATTCAAGCTGTTGTTTTCCACCCTTTTATAATTTCACAGCATGTAATCTGAACAACAACTAATGAACCTCAGCTTTGAAAATAACTTCAGGCAAAGTTTAAATACCATTGGATGGGGCAGATTAAAAAATGTTTACATCAATGTAGCATGACTAAATTGGTGTGAGAAGTAATTTATGGTTTTGTGGGAATGTAATCAGATGTAGTTCATGCAATGCCGGATTTAGACTTAGTGAGGCCCTAATCTATATAAAGCTTGGAGGCCCCTTGTTAAAAAGTTACACCAGAAGGTCTCACAAAGGTGCGTACCAAAACAGGACCTTGGGTCGCCACAAAAAATTAAAAACATATATATACCTTTTGATTATTTAATAGCAAAGTATTATTTAAAGTAAAAAATACAAATTATTTTCAAACGAATGCATTTACTGATTACATATTTATCATATTGCTGGTTTGATCGCTCTCATAGATTATAATATAGTCTACACTGGAAACAATACTTAAATGTAATTGTTAAAAACTACACATGAAAATTTGCTACACAAGCCATTTTAAAAACTATAGTACACATAAAAAGCCACAAAATTTTAAAAGCAAAAAAGAAAAAAAAATAAAATTTTGTGAGGCCTCTGCAGATTGTGAGGCCCTAAGCAGTAGCTTGTTTAGATTATGCCTAAATCCGGCACTGAGTTCATGCAGAGAAGAATAATGGAATCTAATTGGAAGTCCAGAATACTTACACTCAAATCAAAGATCTGAGAATTTGTTAGAGTTTCCTAAGATGTTCTTTCCAGAAAATGTTTTCTTATTAAATTATATTTGATTGATAGCTAAGAAAGAAGTTTTATGTGGTCAAAATATCTGGTAACCTTGTTAGGATTAGCAAATACACTAGGCAATGACAAAATATTTTGAAGGATACTAATAATGATTTAACTGGCTAGGTGCTACGTAGCTTCCAGTTGACCCTTGAAGTTGACCCAAAACACCACCGACACATCATTGGGCAGAAAGGAGCTGTAATTAGCAAAATCCGAATGACTCATAAAGTTCAGATTCATCTTCCTGAACGAGGAGATCCTAATCAGAACTTTATTACTATCATTGGCTATGAAAGTAATGCTGAAGCAGCCAGGGAAGATATATTGAAAATTGTTCACAAATATGTAAGTAGAAATTAGTTGTTTATGTGTGTGTGTGTGTGTGTGTATATATATATATATATATATATATATAT